ATCGCGTAGGCGGCCGCGTGCGGCGACGCCACTACCGGACGATCCTGTTGACCGCTCCCCCGCCCTTACCACCAACAGCAGCCTTCAGAAAGCCTCAATCATCAAAAGTAATAAGGTTCGACAGGGGAAGGAGCGAAACGAACCGTTTAATTTATTCCATTTCCTTTTATTTGGGGGAAGACTCCCCCAGTACGACATTCCTTTCTCCCCCTACCGCCATCCTACCTATCATGGATCATGGCTGTTTCTAAAGCATTGGCTTCTGAGACCAGTCGACACAGTCGAACCTCGCCGTCTACTTTCTTCTCCAAAATGTTGAGAAGGACGGAGGGGGTCAAATATGTCAATAAATTTTCCCAATCGCAAAGAACTCGTCAAAACGACCGCTCACAACCGCGACGCCGTTTAACTCCCACAAATACCTCTGCGACCTCCCGTTCGTACTTGTACCTGTTTGTTGTATAAAAAAGGAAAGCTGTAGTGGTGCGGAATGAGCGCTCGGCCTCCATGACAAGCCGAAGATTGACTCGCATTCAGTTGAACAATATCCACCATCGCTTACAGGTTAGGGATCTGCTTATTGGTGATGGGCCTTGGTGAGGAAGCAGAAAGATTTTGGCCGTCCTTGCTGCATAAGTCAAAGTCTCCGTCCATGTCGAACTCAAAAACATCCGGGACTATGAAGGTATGTCGGGTGCACGGCGTATTTGTGCCGTTGGAGTTGATTATTGATCCTCCAATCAATAATCTTCAATCAATATGCGTTCTATGTTAAGCAAACTTCTTTATGATTGCTCAACTTCAGTAGCTGTTTCACGTCGCTCTATTGCCTACTACTTAGTTTTCAGAGTGCCAAACGGTATCAATTACTTGCCGTTGCTAAGCAAAGACGGAGAAAATGCCGCGCCATTGTTTCGCAACAAAGAACGAGAACAGCGCAGGCAATATTCCGAATACAAATTAGAAAAAATATCAAAGTGTAAAAAGAATGAGTGATTGGCTTTGATCGATAATGGATTCGGATGTGTCGATCATTTCAGTTCTTCCTAGCTTGAACTAAGTTTTCAGTGCAAATTATACTTGAAAAATCAATTATGGGAGCTAGCCTATACAAAATGAGTGCTTCAATTCATACAAACGAGTGTGGTACCGAATGAGCCCGAGCGGGCTAAAACCCCGGCCTCGCCGAAGCAGAAGATTGATTGAGGCTCCTTTCACCGATAACCGGTGTAGCAGCAGCGCTGCCTGCTACTGATTCAATAAGCTCTAGTGAATTACCTGAAATCCAGTTCTTTGATTTTGAACTTCACTTCGACAACACCGGTAGTTGCAACTCGGGAATAGAGAATGTCCTGCTCGGATGGCCTGTAGCCTGGTTCGCTAACCCGGGCGCAGGAGTCGAGGAAGCTGAAATTGTGTAAGTGTTATGTATTTTTCGGAGGGCCGGGTTGTGTGAAATCAAATTGGCTGAAATCTCTTCAACTCACTATTTGGCTGAATCTGTCAGCTGATACTCGCTTCGCATTTCAAATGCTTTCTTCACGCCTGGGTCGGACCTGAAAAGCAGCGCTAATGAGTCCATTCAACAGTTGCCCATGTAATGATGTAGCCAGTTTAGCCTCACGTCACGTGAATTACAGGGACCGAACCAATCGCATTTTTCTTTGACCCAGTCATCGGCCTCGGCGAAAATATCATCCACCGGTGGCCGACAAAAGGCTCACTTTGTACGTACAGCAACAGTTC